TCTCCTACTTCCGTGCCCTCTTTAATTTCCATGTATTTCTGTTTCCTTGATTGGGTAAGAAGCTTGGAATCGCAATTGGATTACCAACTCTCTTGCCTCTGAAATAGCAGGTTCACAAAAGGTTCAGTTTCAGAGAATAAAATAGGTTGATAAAGAGAACCCATTTGCCATCACGAATAAGTAACTTGACCAGGTGCCTTCTAAGTAAAGTCTTTTTTCCTCTCTGGATGTAGACCTAAGGAAAAATTAGGTATGTTTATCTTGGTATGGACAGAATCTCCCTTTCCAAGTTGGGAAACTCTGAAAAGTCTGTTATGTTGGCTTGATATCTTTTTAACAATTAAGCAACATTTGTGCAGTCATTCTAGATCCTTAACAGAACAAGTATGAGAGGATATTATAGTCTTGACCACTCACCAAGCTGTTACTACAGCAGTGACTAAATACTTAAATGAGTAACTCTTGTCTCTTGGTGTGGGTGTGTACATCATATAATTATCGTGGCATGCAAACGTAACCTGTCATTTTTTTTCTGTCTCCTCCCATCTGTCTGTTCTTCCCTTTCAGAGTACTTGAATCCTGACAACGGAGGGCAACAGATGATTTCAATAAGTGACGCTTTCATCAAAGGTGAGATGAATTGGAAATGTTGCTTCAGTGTTTAACTAATGTGAAGATGAATGAATATTCTTCCTCATTTCCTTTTCCCCCTCTGGGGCTTCCAGGAAGAGCTGGCCTAAACATCCCAACGACTCCTTCATTTGTCAAAGGGACAGCTCCTGTCTGTGTAACAAACTTAAGCTTTGGGTAACTTTACTCTTTATAGGGGCATGCTTCAGCCAACAGCTTGCTTGTAGGAGTCCGTTTTTAAACAAGCTTGAGGAAAAAGCTTCCTTGATGTACAAGCTGGCAAGCTTTAGCGTTTTGTGGGTGGGGAGTTGTTAAACATGTATGTAAAAGAGACCTCAATCTTTCAGATTCCATTAAGCTTTTGTGCTCGTTTCTAAGTACATGTATGAGAACATATATTGTATGCTTAAATTCTGTTCAGCTTGAGAACTTAATCTAATCTTTCAAATCCTATCAGATCTGTTGTCACTTCTGGAATGGAAGCTCTCTAAATAGAATAAACCTGAGAGCCAAGTCCCTTTAGAGTTAATGAGGTGTATTTTAGTATTCCAGCTGATGCTAAAAATGATTTGGACTAATTCATAAAATAAATAAGGGGGAGGGGGAATCTACCCAAGTACTTTTTTCACTGGCACCTGACTCTTCCCAGAATCTGCCAAATAAGGATTTTAAGTGAACTCCCTTGAAAAATTAGGTTATGCATTTCTTGATTATATTTAAATATGTAAAACATTGACAGGTTTGCTGCCTAAATATTAGGTTTAGCCTCCAAAAGAGGAATATGACAAAATTATAGATTATCCTTTTTCTAGTATTTACTAATCCTATGGAGACTATTGTATCTGGTGCCACAGGCAACCGCTTGACATTATAGAGCTTCTGGAACATGACTTTATGATGATGGTTTTATAAATAACTTTATAAATAATATTTTTACATATAATGTATATGTATCTATTAGGACTGTGTGAAGCTTCAGTTGCTGATTCAGTTCGGCCCAATTCAGTGGCCAAACCTCCAAATCTGAATCTAATCAGGAGACCCTTTAATCTCTCCGAATCGAATTGGAACCCTCCAAATTGATTCGGAGAGATTCGATAATTCAAACATAGACACAGCTTTAAATGTTTTTCTCCATACCTCAAGATACCAAGCAGCTAGTGAATGCTGAGATGCTGGGCCAGATGAAGCGTCCCACAGGAGCGCGGGAGGGTCCCCAGCATGCTTGGCTGTGGACCCAGAAGTGGAACAGAAGCACTTCTGGTCCACTTCTGTGTCCGCCAGGGGGCGTGCAGGGGACGCTTCCCCCGGCTCGGCAACTAGTGCCTCCTTGGTCTGGGGAGGCACCCGGGGTCCCCCTGTGGCTGATTGCAGAGCCATTGGTGTGCAGCGGGGTAGGGCCCCCCCCCCTCCGTGTGCTAAGCAGCGGACCCAGAAGTGGACCAGAAGTACTTCTGGTCCACTTCTGGGTC